TTCTTTCTTTCTTTCTTTCTTTCTTTCTTTCTTTCTTTCTTTCTTTCTTTCTTTCTTTCTTTCTTTCTTTCTCCCTCCCCTCCCTTTTTCTTTTTCTTTTTCTTTTTCTCTTTCCTTCCCTCCCTCCCTTCTCCCTTTTTAACACTTCTACCATCTGTTACATGTATAAATGATACTTGTATATTGATTAAAAGAAAATGAACATATTAATCTTTTAATTTCCACTACCAAAACAACTAATGTTATGTTATCTTAGCAGTGACACAATGGCCCTTATGTCAACTAGATAAGGTTGTCACAGTAACATAAATTATTTTTCATATATTTGTTTCAATTTTTTGAAAACTTATAGATGAACAGTAATTTTTTTTGGCTATACATTTTTATTATAAATAGCCATCTATTTTTTCCCCTTCCCATTACTAGGAAAGACCTACAAGCAAACTATTGGCCTACACTGCAAAACACGAACACATGCATCCTTGAATTGACTTGGTCAAGGTTGTGAATGTAATATTGGGGGCATGTCTTATGTTGAATATCCTTTGGTGTAAGAGATGCTGGAATAAGGTGAGAATGAAGGTGATGTGCCCAGCACTGAGTGATACCAGATTGATAAAGGGAAGGGAAATTGAAAAAGGGAAGAGTACTGGTAGCTATAATAACTGCTCACACTTGTAAAAAATGGAATTGTCCTTATCATGTTGAGACTTATGGACTCCTAGTGGTAAATCTTTATGTAACTTTTAAATCACAAACTTTCTATCATATGACAGAAATGCAAATAGTTATCTGTGATAGATGTTTTTAGGACATCCTTTACTATCCTAGTGCACTTTAGATGTACTACACTACAACCATCCCCAGTCAGCATGGTAACTGGAGACTGGAGAGGCATTTATAATTGGGTTGGATTATGTGGACCAGAAAATCAGTATCTCTTGCATGTATTAATATATTTAAATAAAGCGTGCTCTGCAATGTATTTCTGTATGATAGTTAATGATTAATTCTTTTATTGTCTTTTCAAATAAGAGTTATGACCTTACTAGAAATAAAACCCAAATCATAATATTAAATTGAAGTTTATTGTGTTTCTATAAACCATTGTGTTGAGCCAGTTATACAATAACTGGGATCTTCTAAGATCTAAGAATTATATCTAGATAAATAAAGGAACAATATATATATATACGCCTCTAGATGTATATACATGAGAATGGGCTAAACAGAACTAAGTCTTCCTTGAAACCCATTCATCTATTTGCCATGGAAGAATTTTTTTAATAAAAAAATTATTAATTTTTAATAAAAATTTTAATACTTCTTAATAAAAAGAAGTAAGGCAGATCCTTCTCAATCCTTATCTGGGCTGACTGGATTAGGTTTTCCTAATATCCAAGATTCCAGGGATATCCACCTTCAAGAAACATACTTCCATTTTCCCCAGGAGTCTTTGCTGCTGAGCGCATTTGAGAAGTATATTGGTGTGTGATGTGCAAAGCATATTGATATGAGCAAAGTACCTTTCATAAAGGAGTCAAACCAACATTAACATTCTGAGGAGGGAAGCTTTGCTTGCTCCATCTTGCTTTATGAAGCACGTCCAGTGCTTTGCACACCTCAACTGAGTGTGGCATTTGACTTATTTACAGAATGTAGAGGAGCGAGGCAAAGCATCCACAGTGGAAGAAGGAAAGATATTAGAGCATTATTCATTTATTATTATATATTCTACAAATTCCTCGGGCAACTCAAAGAAAGGCACATGGAGCTATCTTCTGATTTTTTAATATTGATTTTGGAAATACCCACAGCTGTGCTATGTTTCTCTCTTGAAATAATGACCTGGCTGTCAAATAATATACAATAGTTGAGCTAACCATTATCTGTAACATAGCTTTCTTCCTTACCTTGAAGCCTACAGAACAATCACATTAGAACCCTACGGAGCACAACTAAATGACTTACCGTATTTTACTTGGCTGTTCTCAGATTATAGATCTGTCAGGTTCAGGGATGAATTATGATTAAAATTCTGATGCTGGTGCTCAAGAGCTTGAAATATTACAGCAGAGTAGTATTGTCACAGGGACATCCTAACACTGGAGCTAAACTGTATCCTTTGTAGGTGAGATATTGCTCTGCCACTGAGCATCCATTCCTGTGCTAATGTTATTCCCTCCCAAACAGCTACGTTTTATGGAACTCATACTGCATCTTGAAACAACATACTGTGCATTATTCTCCTTCTCTCATCACATGCCAATGATTCGGAGCGCTTGACAAGGCACAGTGGTGGAATCAGAAATGTAGTAATGACAGAACAAATAGTAAATCTTATAGGCCAGGAGCAGCAATACAATACCCATGGACATCTTGCTAACATATTCCCTGCTTTGTCTATTTAATTTTTTAACATTTTTTATCAAGAGCAAATTAAGCAGAAAACTGCAAAGCCACTATGAACATCTTAATTTACAAAGATGTCTCAGAGCCCCCCAAAGGCTTCATAGACATTCTTAGAAAATAAAATTGCTGATTGGCTTTTGTGCACAGTTTTGTTTGGAAGTGTGAGCACTTGTCTGGGGCGGGGGGGGGGAGAGTGGAGTAAGATGGGTATGATTGGGAAACCTCCTCACCACTTTGTCTTCCACTAAATGGCCATGTTGTGACTGATAGCCATCTCCTCGGCAGCCAACCCAATATTTCACATGAGCCCCTCACAGGGCTACTTACTATGGGGAAAATAGGAAATGGGACCATATATGCCACTTTGAGTTACCAAAATAAAATGGGATAAAAAACAAATACAGTGGTACCTCGGGTCACGAACGCTTCTGTTCACAACCAATTTGGGTCACGAACA